AAATATAGACTAAAACCTCCAAAAAACTATAAAAAAATAAACCTTTCCTTTCCCAACTTTGGGTATCAGGTATTATGTCTCAGCAATGAGTAAAAAATAACTAAGACACTCAGTGACCCACCCAAACCCAAGAACCATATCTGAGACCTGTGGGGACTGGGAACTTCTGGTGAGACCCACTGACTCTTCCACACCCAGAAATCATCACTGAAGTGTGCAGGAACTGACAGCCCACACCCAGAGACCTACAGCCATTGGCAACCCCCAGTGAGGCCTGTTGCTGAGGGCAGGCTGCCAGTGTAGCAAACAACTAGGACTTGGCATCCACTGAATTGAAGGAACATAGGAAAATGCTAAAACAAAAGAACAAAATGCAATCTCAAATTTCCAGTCCATCCAGATCTAGTACAGGACACACAGATATGAATTAAATTAGAAATTACACACCTGAAACTTCTGAATGATAGCAACAGAATAAAGAAACAACTCTAGGAAGCTATAAAGGAAACCAGATCAGAAATAATCTCTTATGTAAAAACAGAAATGATAAACATAATGAAAGAATTAGTGAGTATATCCAAAGAAGACATAGACAAAAAAAATAGAGGAACATAGAAAAATGATGGAAACCTTGAGTGAACAATTCAGGAAACAATTAGAAAACATGAAGCAGATTCAAGGAAATATTCAGTAAATCAAAAATTCCATTGAAATCTGGCAAAACTGCATAAATGAAATTGAAAACAGGCTCTTAGACATTGAAGACAAGATTGTGGCTGGTGATAATGAAAGGAAAGCTCTCTTAAACGTAACAAGGAATGAAGAAATAACAATTCAATATCTGCAAGATGATGCAAGAAGAAACAATATAAGATTGATAAGTGGTCAATGAAAAAGAAGGAGACAACCTGAAAAGATTATTTGCAGAAGAAATAGCAGAAAATTTCCCAACATGGGGAAAGAACCAGACATACAGATAAGTGAGGCATATAGAATTCCAATTAGCCTTAACAAAAATTAATCTATACTTCAACATATAGTAATCAAGATCCCAGAAATTCAGCATAAGAACAAAATATTAAAAGCTACTAGAGAAAAGAAACAGATCACCTGTAAAGGAAAGCCTATCAGAATCATGGCAGACTCTTTAACAAACGATCAAATCAAGAAGAGCAAGGAGTTATTTCAAGTAATGAAAGAGAACAACTTCCGATCCAGATTAATGTGCCTGCAAAACTATCCTTCAAAATCAATGGAAAAATAAGATGCTGTCATGGTAAAGAACAACTGAAGAACTTCATGAACTGCCAAACAACCCTACAAAGAGTACTGAAAGACATAGAAAGCAATAAAAATGACCACACTTCCAAGAACAACAACAGAAAGAAATCAATAAGTAGGACAAACAATTAAACACAGAGGAAAAGCAGGGAACCAAGAGAAGAAAGATAATATGACAAAGATAAGACAATATATATTATTTATAACCATTGATGTAAATGGCCTCATTTCGTCAACCAAAAGAAACAGACCAGAAGAGTGGATTAAGAAGCAAAATGTAACAATATGCTGTATACAAGAAACACATTTAACTCAAAAGGAAATTCATAGACTGAAAGTCAAAGGTTAGAAAACAATACTCCTTGCAACAGGAACCCAGAAAAAAGCAGGGGTAGCTATTGTTTGCAGACAATGTGAACTTCAAACCAAGAGTGATCAAAAGAGATAATGCCCACTACATACTTGTTAGGAGAAAACTTCAAGAGAAAGGGATAATAATCATAAATATATATACATCTAATATGGGAGCAAACAACTATATAAAACAAAAATTAATAGACATGAAAGGTCAAATAATCAATAATACAATTATGATGGGAGACCTTAGTACCCCATTGTTGCAAAGAGACAAGATCAACTACAAAAAATATGCAAACAAATAACAGAACTGACTCAGGCTTGTGAACAAATGTAGTAGGTGTTTACAGAGTGTCCCACCCAATGACATCAGAATACACATACTTCTCAGCTTAACATGGATATTCTCTTAAAAAAGATCATATACTAACCCAATGAATATGCTTAAGTAAATGCAAAGGAATTGAAATTATCCCATGAATATTATCTGGCCACAGTGCACTGAAACTGAAAATTAATGACAAAAGAAACTGCAAAAGTTCCATAAACATATGAAAATTAAATAGCACCCTACTAAATAACCAGGGGGTCACTGAGGAAATTAAACAAATATAATCATACAAAAATGCAAATACAACTTATGAGAACCTGTGTGATACAATGAAAGCAGTGCTCAGAGGAAAATTTATAGGGTGAACTCTCATATTAGCAAAACATAATGAGGATAAATAAATAACTTAATGCTGCATCTCAAACTTCTAGAAAAAACATGAACAAGTCAAACCGAAAGCCCAAAGAAAGGAAATGATAAAGAAGAGAGCAAAAATTAATGCAATTCAAACTAAGAAAACAATACAAAGAATGAATGAATCAAAAGCTGATTTTTAAAAGGATAAATAAAATTGATAAATCCCTAGCCAATTTTATCAAGCAAAGGAAAAAAACCCTCAAATTTACTCAACAAGGAATAAAAAAGATAAAATCACCAGAGATCCTCTGGAAATACTGATAATCAGTGCTTACTTTGAAAGCCTTTACTTGCATAGAATCAAAAACACAGAAGAAATGGACCGATTCCTAGAAATATATGAATTACCAAAGCTAGATCAAGAAGATATAAAGCTTATGAATAACCCAATATTAGTCAATGAAATTGAAACTGTAACTAAACACTTACTAATAAACACTAACAACAACACCAACAATAAAAACCCCCAGGTCCTGATAGATTCACAGATGAATTCTACAAGAAATTTAGAGATGATTTATTATCAGTGCTTCTCAAACTCTTTAATGAAATTGAAAGGGAAGCAATTTTTCCTAATTCATTTTGGGAGGCAAATATTACCCTGATACCAAAAGAAAATCACAGGCTAATCTCTCTAATGCGTTTAGATGCAAAAATCCTCCATAAAATACTAGCAAATAGAATGAAGCAAATCATCAAGAAATTATACAACACAACCAAGTACAGTTCATCCTTGGAATGCAGGAATGGTTCAATATATGCAAATTAATAAATGTAATAGACCATATCAACAGAGCTGAACACAAAAATAACATGATTATCTCAATAGGTAGAGGAAAAGCTTTTGAAGAAGTCCAACATCCACTTATGTAAAAAAAACTACAGAAAATTGTAATAAATGGTCTTTATCTCAATCCAATAAAAGCCATAATAAAATTAGCAGTTGCCATAATAAAATTAGCATGGTACTGGCCCCCCCAAAAAACCTCAAAATAAAAAACAAACAAAACAAAACAAATCAAATGAAAAAACCAGACCTGAGGATAAATGAAACAGAACAGAAAATACAGACATAACTACAAACACGTTCAGTCACCTTATCTTTGACAAAAGGGCCAAGCATGTTCACTGGACGAAAGACAGCTTCTTTAATAAAGGGTGTTGTAAAAACTGGTTTCTACATGCCAAAGATTTAAACTAGACCCATAACTATCATCATGCACAAAACTAAATTCAAAATGGATCAAAGATCTAAATATTAAGACAGAAACACTAAATCTACTGGAAGACAAAGTAGGTAGAAATCTCAAGGACATATTGGTAGGCTGAGAGTTCATGAACAAAAACCAAACTGCATGGGAAGTATTTCAAAAAATCAACAACTGGGACCTTGTCTTATTAAAAAGGTTATGTACATAGAAAGAAATCACTAACAGAGTGAAAAGAAAATCCACAGATTGGGAAAAGATTTTTGCTAACTGTTATTGAGACAAAGGACTTTTATCTAGAATATATATGGAACTAAAAAAAAAATCAAGCCCCTTAAATTTAAAGACTTAATCAAAAAATGGGCATCTGAGATGAATACACAATTCTCAGATGAAGAAATACAAATAGCAAATAAATATATGAAAAAATGTTCAACATCATTGGTCATTTGAGAAATGCAAATTAAAACTACATGGAGATACCGTCTCACTCCAGAAAGAATGGGTAACATCAAGAAATTAACCAATAATAAATGCTGGTAGGGCTGTGGGGGGAAAGAACCCTTCAACATTGTTAGTAGGAGTGCAGACTGGTACATCCTCTGTGGAAATCAGTATAGAGATCCCTTAAAAAACTAGGATTAGAGGTTCTATTTGACCCAGCTATTTCCCTTATTTGCCCAGAAGAATTGTGAACATCATACCACAGTGATATATGTGCACCCGTGTTTATAGCAGCACAATTTGTTGTAGCTAAATCTTGGAAACATCTCAAATTGCCATCAACTGAGGAATGGATAAAAAAAGATATGGTATTTTTATATAATGGAATACAACTCAGCCAAAAAGAACAATAAATGTGAGGATTTTATAGGTAAATGGATGCAACTAGAGATCATGTTCATAAGTGAAATAAATCAGACTTGCAAGTGTAAACGCTATATTGTCTCACTAGTGTAAAAAACTGAAAGAATAAATAAGATCCAAGAGTTACAATAGATATAGTAAAAGGGAAAAAAAACTGCTCAAAGAGAAATTTTATTGTTTGATCAATCTTGCATGCCTGTATCGAGTAGCCTGAGGAATTGCTTTGAGGATAACAATATGTAATATAACAACCATTGTTAAATTCCTATCATCTTGTTTTGAAATCCCATATTGCCATTGGTTTTTTTTTTGTTGTTGTTGTCTTAATTTTGCTTTTATTGTGGTTTTTTAATTGTTTATTTCCTTCTTGATTTTTTTCTTTAAGATAAAAAATATTTAAAAAGAGACTGTATTAGCACAACGTGGTCACATTTTTTTTGGTGGAAGGTGTGCATGTATATCTTTAAGTGTGTGCTGACAAACAACCATGGGATTATATTGATCAATTTTCCTGTCATTGTAACAAAATACCTGATACACACAGTAAGAGGAGAAGTTTATTCAGGACCATACTTTCTTAAGTTTCATCCATGATCAGCTGGGTCCAAGGCAGAAGTTTCATGACAAAGAAAACAGTGGAGTAAAATCCTGTCACTTCATGATGGCCAGGAATCAGAGCGCAGGTGAAGAGCAGCAGGTGTGCCCCTAGTGGCCCACCTCCAGTGAGGCCCCGCTTCCTAAGAGTACATTCTGCTGTGATTATCATGGCTTGGTCCACTGAAGAGTATAAGGTCCCACAATCCAGTCATCTTGCCAAGAGTCTCTTAATGCAGTCAAGTTATCAGTAAGATTACATGGCTCAGGGTTATAAAATGAATCGTTAACCACTGTTTTTCAAAAGTTAAATGAAAAGATTCATAAGTGCTTCCATAACACGCTTTGTCTCACCTTACGTGCTGGAGCTTCCGGCCTGGCTGAGGCCATGAGTGCTGATGAAGGTAAGACTGTCTGTCTTGGAAGCTTCATTCTTGAGTTAGAAGAGTCGTTTCAGGTGAGTAGGAGGACAGGAATAGTGGGTATCAAGAGCACTAACAAGTTTACAATATGAGTCACTCCAGAGGATCGGTCTGAAAGACAAGAGAACCCACTTATGTGTCTTGATTCATATACTGAGAAGGGGGCAGGAGTCCTCGACATTGCTTAGGAGCTTATAAAACAAGGAAAAGAATTTCTTTTCTAAATATAGTCCCAGTTTTTTCTTTTCTGCAAGGGTTCAATTTTCCAGATATAGAGAGTGCAGAAATCCCTTAAAAATCAGTGGCTTATCTGAGTTTTGTGCTTGAAAGTTACCTTGACATATCTACAGGCCTGAAAACAGTGAGTCCCATACACAGGGCAGCAGTGAAGGGGGCCCAGTGTCAGGTGTAGACAGATGGCTGTTTGGGGCCATGCACAGCTGACGGCCCCTCCTTGTTTCTCCATCACTAACCACCCGTACCACTGTGAGGTAAACAGAAAAGAAGAAGAGAGATGGGAAAGGAAAAAAAGGAGGAAAAGAAGGGAAGAAATAAAAAGGCAAAAAGCATAAAAGGGGAAGAGTGATATAACAGAAAAGGAGATGGGAGGTGTCTGCTAGGATAATTCTGGTGGCTAAAAGAGACAGGATTAAGTTACTCCTTCGCCCACATGGGTGTCCTCTCTGCAGATGAGCAGTCACTGCTATTTTATAAGGGACAGGCTTGTTCCTCCTCTTTTATCTGGGTCTCAGAATGTGGTATAAATATGATGGCAGTGCCAGAATTAGCCCTCCAAATCAACAAGTCAGCCTGATCAGAAAAGGCAGGTCACTGAGGACATGCTCCACCTTCTAACCGTAAGTCAGCCACATGGCACCATGATTCACGTCACCTTCCAGAAGGTGCATCCATGAGCCCTTGAGGCCTTTGGAGTCATCTGATGTAAACCTAACAACTGGAAAAAAGAAAGAAGAGCCTATGGATCCTGGACCTCAGGATCCATAGGAAACAGATCCAGTGGAAACGGATAAAGAAATGAGCCCAGATGAGTCTGGAGTGGTGGCACAAGCCTGTAACACCGGAACTTTGGGAGTTTTCCGGGAGGCTGAGGTGGGAGACTCCAAGTTTGAGCCTGAGCAGTTTAGCAGCTTAGAGAAAACTTATCTCAAAAGAAAACATTTTGAAAAGGACTGAGGATATAGCTGAGTGTAAAGGCCTGGCTTTAATCAGTACCACAGAAGAAAAAAAAATAAGAGGAAAGAAAAAAAAAAGATGTCAGTCAGCATAGGGAAGACTGGATCCAGAAGACCCAGAACCTGGACCCCTGTGGCTGGACAGGACACATAGACCAGAGTAAACTTCAAAACCGTGGCTATGGGCGATTGTGAAAGAATGTGTAGGTCAGGACTCAGGGGTATCAATCCAGTGGTGGGAAGGGTACAGGACCTGACGTGCAGAGGCTGTGACACAAATTTATAAGGGGTCCTGCCAAGTCCAAATGTCTCCAAAGTTGAAGATACTGAGCCTGATTTAGTCACCTTTCATTGAGGACTTATCAGGCACAGTGTCAGGCACCACGTACTGTGTTACTTGTTCTGTATAAACCATGATATAAGAGCTGTTGTTTTTTACCTAACATAGGTTAGAGAAGCTGGGTAACTTGGTTAGCGTATGAGTGACAATACGCAGATTGACCCCAGGTGTGAGTGCTTCTAAAGCCCATGACCTGAGCTGGCCTGCTATAGCACCTGTGTGGCTGAGCTAGCGCCAGGTGTGATGATCTGGCAAGTGGATCCTCCCAGGAGACATAGTGTAATCAGAAACATGAAACCCAGAGTTTGCTTTCTACCTTCATCACAGACTGCAAACCTAGCCGTCTCCACCTGAGGATGAGGCCATCACCCCTGTTCACTGGCCTGTCGCGGCTCACCTGCTTCTTCCCTTTTTCCTTGCTGCTTCAGGCTGCCCAGCAGAAACCCCTCCAGGTGTCTGCTCAATAGTTCCTGGACTGCTCTCCATGTGCTCTGTGTCCTGGCTTTCCCTGGGACTCAGACTCTAGAGCAGGACATTTGTGAGAGCCAGGGAGGAGTGGGAGCATCAGAGTTTCTGTGCTAAACCCCTTTTGCTGATGAGGTCACTGACCTCCACAAGAATGAGGTGAGCCAGTTGAGACATGGCAAAGCCAGTCATAGAACTCAAGTCTCCTAAGTACACAGAATTATTTGGTATTGTCCATGACATTCTGTACCAGATGACTGAGTAGCGTCCCACAGTTTTCTTCAATCAAATGAAAACCAGAGGCCATGCTCACTTCAGCCCTCTGGGGGTTGTTTCTTACCCAGATTACAGGGTGGAAGGAAGTAGACTGTGTCATTCTGGCTGCTGACAGGATTGCTGATTTGACAGGTGTAAGAGTTGGACTTGTTTTGGGGCGGAATCGTGACTTGGAGCACACTTCTGTGGAGTTCCTTTGGCGATGGACCTGAGTCTGTATGCCAAATGTAGTCAACAGACTGGTCTGGTATTTCACAGGATAGATTCATGTAACAGACGCCACTCACTTCTTTGGTCTCAGTTTTTATCACAAAGTTGGGTACAGGATCTGAAAAGGAGAAGGGTGTTATAAAATGAGGCATGGACTGATGATTTAAGAAGCATTTAGCTAACAATGCACAAAGAGAACCAGGGAAGGGTCCTCGAGAGCCATGGGAGGCAATGTCGTGGAGAAGGGGCTCCCACAGAGGGAGCCAGTGAGCAGCTTTGACTTTGGGAGGCTTCCCAGGTCAAGAACTCTTCCTTGGAGGTGATGCTACGGTGTATCCACAAGGGGGAGCCAGGGCCCATTATATATTTGAAACCAAGAACAAAATACAGTGATGATCATGTATGAACCAGAAAGCACAGCATACTGCTGGCTAAGGGTCACACTTGGTATCTCAACTATCTGAGACACCTTTTGTATGAGAATGATCCATAGGTGACACCTGTGGCCAGTCTGCCCCCTCAAGAATCCTAAGGTTCAGACTTAGTGGAAGCCCCAAGGTAAGAAGTACCAGCCTGCACCTGGCAAACAACCACCCTAGGGAAATACCATCCTCCTAGACTCTGGTAGAGTAACAGAAAGCACCTCTTGTAACCCCAACACATGTCAGTGGTAATTGTTAATCCTGGTATCTCAATGTCTAGTGCAGTTTCTGCCACACAGCAGATACCCTACAATTAGCTAACGGATATATGAATAGGTAGATGGATAAAAAAAGCTATGAGGCAGGAAGGACAAAACGCTAGCTTTGGAGTGCGACTAGCCTGGGCTCTAATGGAGTGGGATTAAGTGCCGCAGTTAACTTTCCTAAACTTATCTTCAAAATGCCCTCATGGTATGTTAGTAAGAGAAAATGACATTGTCCTTGGAGAAATGCTTTTGGTAGAGTGTAAATATGGCATACTGTGATCAAAGTTATGCTAACATTGCTACTGCTGTCCTGCTGCCAGATGTGAGGAGAGGAAATCCCAGAGTCAGGTCCTTCTGAAGGTCTGGTTTACCTAAAATCCTCTGGGATCTTTTCATTTTAGTCAGTGATAAAATACTTGCAGAATCAGTGTAGCTCAGATCTCATAGGATTAACACATGCTAGAGAACTGACCAGGTCAGAGCTCATTTTTGGGTTGTATAAGTTGGGAGACTATGGAAGCTCTTTCAGTAGGGCCTCCTGAACTCAAGTTTCACTGCTTCGTGAAGCCATCTTGGACTGCTGGACTTCTGCATACTGTTTGTCTGTCAGTTTGTTTTATTTTGATACTAGAGATTGAACCTTGCAAACTTAGTGGTGTGTTCTACCACTTACTTACATCCTCAGGATTTAAATTTTTTATTTTGAGACAGAGTTAAACTAAGATACCTAGGCTGGCCTTGAATTTTCAATCCTCCTACCTCACCTTTCCTAATAAATGAGGTTCCTTCCAGGTGTGGGCCTTGACATCTTTGAAGTGAACAATCTGTGTACTATTCCTGTCTCTGCCATCTCCTGTGTTCTATCCTCATATCTCATGCTCCTTTTACACTTCCCCCCATCACAACACAGGTTCGTGGATGGTATTTATTGAACCAGTTAGGGGGTTTGGCTCCAAGAGACCCCATTTGAACAATCGCAAATGTCTGGACTGAACTGAAACACGATCCTCCTGCTAATCACACAGTGAGGGGAGTCTTACCCTCAGGCAGGGTGTGCTGGAACTGAGCCAGCTCATGGACTTGTAGATATTCAGAAACTTTGTAAGCTGATTGTGAAAAGCTTTAGTGACCTGGAATCAGCTGTGGTGGAAGCAGTTACACCCCAGAAATGATAGATGTTGGTAAATGGGATACAGATAGGGACCATTTGTGTTTGATTGCTTTATCTATTTTTGGTCTTGGAGAGAACACCATGGCAAGAAACCTTCCTGTCCTCGGGATGCCCTGTATTCCCAGCCCGTATCATATGAAGGCAGTGAGTGAGAAGGAGACTCTGGCATCTTATACCAGGTAGGACCTAGCTGGTAGGACCTGAATATTTTCAGCACTTTATCTACACTGCATTAGCATTTTTAAAGTGTTCTCTCCACTTTGAATATCCACTTTGATCCTCATAACACCTTGAAAGGCGGGTATAATTATATTCATAATATGTTGAGGAACCAAAGGTTTTGAAGTGAAAAGCCATCAGCCTGGTCCCTCTTCCACAACCACTGCCCACCCCAACCCCACCAAAGTCTTGCCAGGAGCCTCATTTCCACATTATTATTTGATCCTTTTGGCCGCAATTGGTTTAGACCAGATACACAAACTTGAACCCAGTTTAAGCTGATTTCTCTCTCATCACATTTCTCTGTGAATTTGAACTCAAAGGAAAATTATCTAACTTTGAGAGATAAGTCATATTAATGACAGGAATCCATAGTCGTTTTCCACAATCCCTGAACCTGAGGACTCTGAGCTGACCCTGGTTCTCAATATTTTTCCTATTTATTCTTTCTTGATTCTTCTGCCCTGCTTGAGTTGCTCATGGTTTCTTAAAATAACTTCTTTTTGAGTAAAGATTCAGTAAATTGGTTTCTGATACTTGTTTTCAAAAGAGACGTACTAAAATAGACTTAGAGATAATTAAGATATTTCTGAAAGATCACAAAGCAAGTTGGTGACTGATCAGAAGTGTTTTTTTTTGGTTGGTTTTGGCTTTAAGTTTTAATAGATAATAACTTTTACATATTTATGGGGTATAGCATGAGAATTTGATATGTTTATGCAATTTAGAAAGATTAAATCATGATTATTAGCATTTATCTCCTCAAACATTTATTTACTTGTTAAATTTACAGTAGTGGAAATTGAACCCAAGGACCTTTGCACATTCCCAACATTCCTACATCTTCAACTCTTTTTAAATCATTAAACAGAGTCTCACTGAGCCCCAAGGTTGAGGTTGAAGTTGGGATCCTCCTACCTCAGTCTCCCAGAGTACTGGAATTTCAGGTCTGGACCAGCATACCTGGTGCATTTGTCACTTCTATGTTGGGAACTTTGAACTTTTCTAGTTACTGTGAAATACCTAATAAATAAGCTAGGCATAGTGGCACATGCCTATAATATCAGCTACTTGGGAGGCTGAGGCAGGAGTATGGGAAGTTCTAGGTCAAAAAGGGCCAGGGGTGTAGCTCAGTGAGTGGTTTTCTTTGGGTTCAATACCCACCACTACAAGAATGAAAGGGAGAGAGAAGAGAAGTAGGGGGAGGTAGATTGCTGTAGATTATCATTATCCTATTATACTATAGAATACTAAATTAATTCTTCCTATGTAACTGTGTTTTGGTATTTATTATCCAATCTTTCCTCTGTCTCTCTTGGTTAACTTCTTTTTCTAGAAGTTAGCCACTGTCCTCTCTACTATGATATTGACATTTTTAATTTCCAAAAATGAATAAGAACATATGATAAGTGTACCTGGCTTATTTTGCGTAACCAGAGTTTTGAACCCAGGTCTGTCTGACTCCAAACAGAATGCCTCAGACCGTATTTCTTATGCACTGGTTAGGCTGGAGCTATCATCCTGATAGGTTAAAAACACTTTCCATAATATCTTCTGCCTTGTACTTAATTTTTTATGCTTTTTCTCATAAGTTTGAAGCCCAAGAGCAGAAACATAATTAATATCAACTCAGAATTTATATATATATATATATATATATATATATATATATATAGAGAGAGAGAGAGAGAGAGAGAGAGAGAGAAAGAGAGAGAGAGAGTTCGTTATAAGACAGAAGGAAGGAAAGAGAAATGAAACAGTTTTGGGGTGTCTAAAGACCCAGGTACACTCTTCAGGAGAACAGGCTTCAGGTAAAGTGACTAAGGCTGCTCTGAGACTTTCTGCTTCTCCTTCCAGAAACGGTCCCCAGGAGTCCCAGGAAGTGACTACCCAGAGCCCTGGAGTGGGGTCCTGCCATTTGCTTTCCTTAACTCACCAAACACCTCCAAGATTATGGAGATATCATATTCAGATCCACTCTCGTTGGATACTCTCAAGAGATAAGTACTGCTGTCCGATTTCTCGACATTATAGATGTGCAATGCAGCACTTTGAGGATCGAGTTCGACCCTCTGTTTAAATTTAGTGTTGAAGTAATTAGGCTTGTTTGAGTCCCACTCCACAATCTTCTGGTTGGTAGTGTAAAACCATGTGCCATGGATGTAGTTATCAAGCATCTTCTTGGAGGTTTTCAGGGTCACGTTGCTGCCAGAGATACAAGTGATCTTCTCTGGAGAATCTGTCAAAGAAAATGAGAGTGAGACTCTTTCTGGGGAGCAGTGCCACCCAATGGTCCGGGATGTAGGGAAAAGGAAAGGATTTCTACCAGGAGCAAACGAATAGGGTTTTCACCACGGGATCTTGTCCTCAGATCAGGAATTCAGTGACAGTTGGAGCTTGAGAAGCAGTCGTGCAAGCCAGGGGATATTGCTTATAATTGTCTAGTTCTACCCTCAGACAGTAAAGGAGAAGGACCCTGAGTTAGCCTTGGCTCTCTTGCCTACCTTCTTACCAAGAGATTTGCATATGAATTGGTGATAAATCACGTCTCCTTTCTGGGTTCGTGTTACCATCTGTTCAATTTAGTTCAATAAGCACTGTGTAAATCCCTAGAGGCATAACAACTAGGACAATCAGTTTATGTTAAAAGATTTAATGCACTAATATGGGACAGGTCCAAAAACAAATAATCTGATTATGAAATCTTGGCTATTATAGTAAAGATAAGCACAAGAAGCTCTCCAGGATGTAGGGGGTGCGAGATGGAAGAAATACTAGAAAAATCTCTTTGGGGGATATGACCACTAATGTGAGTCAAAGGATGTTTAAATCTAGTTTATTCCTAATTCTGGGAATTGAATTAAGGACCTTGTGCTTGCCAGGCAGGTACTTGGGCTGCTGAGCTATATCCCCAGTCTAAATCTGATATTTATTGAGAACCATGTGACAGGTACTATTTGGGGCCAGCTGAGATATGTCAATAGATTAAAGAGCAAAGATACTTGAACTAACATTAGAGTACAACAACTAAATACATTATATAGCATCTTAAACAACAGTAATTGCTAAAATAAAGAGAAAGTGTAGACTACAGAAAGAGGACTCATGAGTGCTAGAAGAGGTTGGGAGGGAAGTGTTATTTATGAGGTGCTTAGTAGATCACATCTGAGCAAAGACTTGGAGGACAGAAAAAGTCAAGCAGACATTTAGGGTAGTAGTGGCCCAGGTAGAAGGAAAACCTGGAAGACAGGCCCTGTGGCAGAGGAGATGAGGAGATGAGGTCAGAGTGGATGGTGTGGAATGAGACAAGGCAGTGTATGTAAAGAGGCACGGGGTGGGGCGGGGTGGGGTGGGGGAATGAATTATAGAAAATGAGTGAAGACATACTTGCTTTTTTGATAATGCTTTACTTTGCCATCTTTTCCCTGTAAAAATGACTCACATATTGTGCGTATTCACAATTTATTTATAAATTGTTGGAAGGTAAGAAAGTGGAACTAGTTGGTGACAAAATTTGGATCAGAGGCAATGACTACAGAAGTGATGGAACTGAAGCTCTGGGGCCCTTTGCACATTTCTACAGGTGGCCCAACAGTGCATTTGTGTGCTGATATATTTTTAAACACACATAGTTAGACCACTGCCTCTTTCCAATCCAACATCCCCTTCCCCACATCTCTACTTGGGTTGGCTATGTCACACTTGTGGGTATTTTGATATATGGCCAAGGGAAACTAGAAGCAGGAAATGTTTAGCCTAAGTGGGTTGAGGCTTTCCTGGGTGTGTACCGCCCGTCATTTGGCTGAAAAGTGACATCAAGGGTGTTGCTGCTGAGACCGCAGGCATATGGCAACAGTTCTGGGATAGGAAGAAAAAAAGATTGAAGTAAACAGGACCCAGAGCTATTCAGTGGCAAGAGTACTGTAGAAGTATGAAAATGTTTAATTAATTTAAGCAGTCATGCTATTGTTATGGCTTTCATGCTTGATATAATATTTGTCTTCTTCAAAAAATTCGTGTTTTATTGAGATTTCTTGTTTCATTCTAATTGAATTAAATTTTGTTTCTTTTCTTTTTTTGTATTTCTGGAGATTGAGCCCAGGCCCTTTGCACTGAGCTATATATAAAGAACTTTTTGTATTATACCATTGTATGTTTGTGATAAATAATAATTATACTTGTTGTAGAGGACTGGTACATGAATATATCATATTTTAATCACAGTTGATCTCTTTATCACTCCTCCCATCCTCCCCTTTCCCTATTCTCCTTGATCCCTTTCCTTACCTGCGACCAGAGATGGCTTCTTACTATCTGTATTTTACTTTTTTATTTACATATTTTTTAGGTTTCTTATGTAAGAGAAACCAGGCAATATTTAAACTTTTATGTCTGGCTTATTTCACCTAACAGTATGGCCTCAAGAGACTTCTGCAAGGATGGTGGAATGGTGAACAGCAAAGAAACAGCTTATCTGATATTTGGAATTCAGATGCTGGAATATTGCAGTGTAAGGAAGAGAAGGAGGAGGGAAGTGGATTCCTGGGAAACTGCAATGATCTAAAGTGAGAAATGGAGCCATGGAAAGAGCAAAGAGAGAGACCACAACTCAAAGGAAGGAGGTGGCAAGCAGGGCTTTCTCCCTGATCTCTGGCTCATGGCATGGTGGGGTGGGGCTCAAACCTGCAAAGGCATGGTGACTACTGGTGACCCAGAGGCCTCTATGAAGAAATCCACCTGTGGAATGGAGCAGTGGACACTGCAGACTCTAGTGGTTGATGGGTTATTCAGGTTCAAGTGCCCACTAGGTGAGGGTAATTGGCTGGCAACAATGTTTGAAAGGGGTCAACAGAAGTCAGAGCTCTGCACAGCTGTGGGTTGATTCCAGATAGCAGCTCCAAGGGTCAGGATGAGGCTCAACCAACTTAAAGTTGGAGAAGGTTAGGGAACTGAGTCAAAGCTGGCAGAGGAGTTGAATTCAAGCTAGTAGGAGTCACTCAGAGTATTGTGGGCTGAAAAACTAGGATCCTCATCTCCCAACCAGAAACCAGAAGCAGCCTGAACTTCAATGAAACTAGAGGCCCAGTTTTGCTGGGATTACCTACACTGCTATAATTCTACTGCTGGTTTGCTGGGATGAATCAAGATGGACTGAGCTCCGTCTACTCCTGTCAACCAATGACAGCAGAGACATGCTCTAAAGTGGATTTTGGTTTTTACTTTTTTTCTTTGATTCTCAATTAAAAGTTTTTTCTTTTGTCTTTTCAAAACAGGGTTCCCAAAGCAGTTCAGGCTGGCCTTGAACTCACTTTGTAGCCTCAGGTGGCCTCAAAGTCACAGTGATCCTCCTGCCTCTGCCTCTGGGGTGCTGAGATTGCTGATTTGAAATTATTCCCTGCAGATTACTAGACCACAGTGCAATGAAAATTGGAAGTGAATGGCGAAAGAAAGCACTAAGACTTCATAAATTAAATAACCAATGGGTTATGGATTAAATTAAAGAAGAAATCAGTTTCTACAATTAAATGATAATACCAATATAACATACCAAATCACATAAGATACAATGAAAGCTGTTATATATTTCTATAGCAGTAAATTCCCATGCCAGAAAAGTTGGAGAAGGTTAGGGATGGGTTAAATTAATAACCTAATGTTGAACCTCAAGCTTTTACAAAAAGAGCAAATCAAATGCAGAGCTCATATGAGGGAGGAAGTTAGAAAGATTATAGCAAAAATTATTGCAACTGAAACTAAGAAAACAATACAATGAATCTGTATTGAAGAGTTCATTCTTTGAAATATTAAACAAAGTTGACAAACCCTTAGCCAATTGTATCAAAAAAGGGAAGACTCAAATCCATGCAATTAGGAATGAAAAGGTGAAATCACAATGAATCCTTCAGAAATCCAGAGGATCATTAGTATTTATGTTGAGAATCAGTATTCAAATAAGATTTAAAAAAACACAGAAGAAATGGACAGATTCCTGGATACATATGAATTAACAAAGCTGAATCAGGAAGATACAAAATTCTACATAAATTATCAGTTGAACAAATTGAATATATAATTAAAAACCTACCAACAAAGAAAAGGCCACATCTTGGCAGACTCACTACTGAGTTCTGTAAGAAATTTAGAGAAGATCTAAGGTCACTACTCCTCAGACTATAGTGAAATATAAAGGATGTAATACTCCCAGATTAATTCCTGGAAGCAAGCATTACCCTGACACCAAAAGCAGAGAAAGATCCAACCAAAAAGAGATCTACAAGCCAATCTCTCTAATGAGCACAGATTTTTAAAAAAAAATCCTCAGTAAGGTATTACAAAACAGAATGCATCAAATCATCAAGAAGTTTATATACCATGACCAAGCAAGATTCATCCCAAGGATGCAGAGATGGTTCAACATCCACAAATCAATAAATGTAATACACCACATTAACAGAGACAAGAACAAAAACATACAATCATCTCAATAGATGCAGAGAAAGTATTTGACAAAGTCCAACACCCATTCATGATAAAAATCCTATAGAAAATTGGAATAGAAGGTCTTTATCACAATCTTACAAAAACCATCTGTGATAAACCAACAGTCCACACTATAAACTTCTCTCTGAGAACTACTTTTATTGTGTTCCACAGTTTCTGATATATTGTACTGCCGTTATCATTTGATTTTAGGATCTTTTTTTGAGATAGAGTCCCACTATGTAAGTCAGGCTAGGGGTGATCCATAGTGATTGCTCAAACTCACAGCAATCCTTCTCCTTAGCCTCTTGAATGCTGTAATTATAGACATGTGTGACCATGCTCAGCTTAATTCTAGGAATTTTTAAACTTCTTGATTTCTTCTGGCCCATGGATTGCCCAAGAATGTTATCCAATATCAATTTGTTTGTGTAGTTTTTATTTTGCTGTTGATTTCTAGTTTAATTTCATTATGATCTGATAGGCTGCAAGAGTTTATTTCAACTCTTTTGTATTTATTGAAACATGCTTTATGGCATAAAATATGGTCTGTTTTGGAGAAAGATTTATGGGTTGCAGAGATGAATGTGGGCCAGTGCCAGAGACCAGAGGTTGGGTCAAGAAGACAGCAACTTCTCATCTCCAACACAATGAAGAGGTTGATTTTGTAACAGGCTGAAAACCCAAAACTCAGCTACACCTGAAAGATACAACTAGTCTTTGCCTAAGGGTTCTAAATACTAGCAAAAAAGCAACTCA